GACAAAAAACAATACATTAGTCAACTAGTCTATAATTTTGTTGATGTAATATTTGTCACAATTTTTCGGCCGTTTTAATTTATGTGTATTTCTTCTTGGTAAATTTTGAAGGAACCCTTTATTTAGATACTGGGGTAGACTGTTCAAATTCCACGTGCCATGTTTTTGATGGATGTCAAGCAAAGTTATCAAATTAATTTTAACTATGAAAGTTCAAACATTAATTAAAAAATACTAAAAAAATTGAACTCACCAAAAATGGGTCTGTCATGTTATAAACCAACGCCTTTATCCACTGTGCCATGTGTTTAAAGAAAGGATCGAAATAACAGGTTCATTTATTAAATTATCCCACCTGAATTATTTTATTTTATAAGATATATTTTATTATTTGAAACAAATTTGGCGACAAAGATAATGGACAATAGTCCGATTTAATGTAAATTGTTATATATATATCTTATGATCAGAATATATATATATATATATATATCATATAAATATATTATATATCAATTTATATTTATATATATAATATAAAATATTTATATATAGGAACCCGGAGGATGCCTTGAAGAAGGGAAAAAATGGTTATTTTCGGGGAAAGTGAGTTTGAACATATTTATACAGGTTATTTTTTTCGAATTTAGTTATCCACAATATTTAATCTGATCCCATGTTTTTGAAGAATTATTATCTTTTGGTGATGCCCCAGTTGAATTTATTTATTGAATATCCTATAGTTTTTGAATCATCGACACGGACACACAAACACACATCAGCCATATATATATATATATATATATATATATATATATATATATATATATATACGTATTATATTTTAAGGATTGATTTTTAGGAACGACTTAGTGAAATAAAAAAATTACTTTACGGTCAATTTAACAACTTTGGCGACGAGGGATTCGAAACTAATACACAGGAAAAACAAACAAACAAAAAACAAAAGAGCCAATTAACACTTTGGCGACGAACGTTTCGGATTCATACGGTGGAAGAAAAAAAAGTTTTTCCATAAAACAATAAAATTTTTTTTTGGAAAATTCAAGCACATAAATCATTTAAGATGCAAGACTTTATTTCTCATTACAGTTTCGACAATTTTCGTTTTCATCCGGACGAGTCATAAGAATGAAATCATTATTACTATTTTCAGATAGATTCATGTTAATACTTTTTTTTTAATTCCTTTTAATCGGATAACGATAAATGTAAGCTAAACAACATTTTTCATATCATCAGCGTTGTTTTACACCCGTGGGAATCATTGTGATCTGACTGCTACTGGCGGCGTAGGGTAGTCTACGTTTTCGGTCGTCTCATACTAGGGATATCAAATCTAATCAAACAAAATTGGGTTAAAGATTTGAAATCTAAGTGTAACCAACCGATAGGTCGCTTTATTTATATGAGAAATATATAGTATTGTACAGGATGCGATGAATAAATTGGCGACAACTTAAATAAAAAATTTCGCGCATGCGCATTTTTTTACATGTCGACTATATATAGTTAGGAAAATGTTGGGAACTATGACGCAATTCGCTTAAGAAATGGAAACGGTATGTTTACTTTTGGCATTCGCTCCAATACGAACATTTCAGTGAGTTTGGGTGTCAATATGCGGACTGTGCACAATGATTCGAAAAAATTTGGATGGAATTTAGAATGGGGATTACGGTGTTTTAGAAAACTCATTTTTTGATCGTTCTGATATGAAAAAAACTGTCAAGAATTTGTTGGGGAGAATATCAGACTCAACAAAATGAATATCTCAAGAAAGTGCTTTGAAGACAAATGTTTGTTGGTCAAGAGGGTTTTGTTGGAAGAACCTATGTCTGGAAAAGGACTAAAACCATGCCATAACAAAAAAAGGACATAGCTGAATCAAATGTCAGGCAATTTCTAAATAATATCGTCGAAACACAAGAGAGTCCATTAATAATTCCCCAGAAAAATTTCAGATACCAAAAATTTTTTTTTGATCATTCTGTTTATGAATATAAACAGATGTGCGAAAGACCAAGAAATTATTTGTAACTATAAAAAATAATGAACTGAAAACAATAGGATTATGGCAGCAAAAATAATTTTTGGAGATCGATTTCAATATATATAAAGGTCAAATATATATATATATATATATAATAAATAAAAGGTATATATATATATATATTTAAATTTATTTTTAACAAACACCATCATTTTAATGAAAGAGATTTGAATAATTTTTTAATATTGCAAAACATATTAAAACAATATTTTAAAGTTTAAAAAAAAAACACTTTTTGTAAAAATGACAAAAAAATGGGAGATTAATTTTACATTTTCCTAAAAAAAATTCTATTTTTTTGTGCAAACAATGTTTTGTTTATTTGGGACAAGACTTTTAATCATTTTTTGCTTATCAAAGTTTTAATATATATATATATATATATATATATATATATATATTTATATTAAAATTCTTATTGTATAT